TAGGTATTATTAAATGATGCTAATGAAATTAAAAGTAATTCTGTCAAAAAACTTATTAAAAGTTCATCATTTTTTATTAATGTTGACAAATTAGTTCAAGTTTTAAAACCAGTTAAAACAGCAATAATTCTTCTTGAAAGTGCAAGTGTAAATCTTGCAGATTGTTTTCTTCAGCTAATTTTATTAGCTAATGCTATTAAAAAGTTATCTATTCAAGGAATGCAAGAATTTCGACAACATAGTATTAATGCATTTAATAAATATTGTGAAAAATTTGATCCAAATATTTATATATTAGCATATTTTTTACATCCAGCTTTTTGTGATTAGTAAATTTTTAAAAATTAAATAATATAATAATAATTTAAAATAATAATAATTATTATTATTATTTATTTATAGCATATGTATTAAAGAAAAAATATTGGAAAATTATTATAACTATAGCAGCACAAATTTGGAAAAATAAAGGTGGTGATAAAAAAACTTGTGATCGTTTATTAGCATAAATACGTAATTATGAATTAAAAGTTGATCCTTATGATCAAGAATTTGACAAACAAATTGAAACACCAATGAGTTAGTGGCTTTCAATAAAGGATAAATATAATTATCTTTATGAATTAGCAATTATGATATTTTCTATTACCCCTCATAGTGTAAGATGTGAAAGGATTTTTTCTACTTTTGGTTGGTTATATGGAAAAAAACGGCAATGTTTAGGACTTTTAAAAATTGAAGCAATGGCAAAATTTCGTTCTTTTTATATTTCAAATATAAAAAATGAGCTTGCTAATATTAGACAACAACATTCGGTAGATGAGTTACATAAAATGATTGAAGATTCAACATTTTTACAATTTGAGGAAGAGGAGGAGAAAGAAGAAGAAAATAACAATATAGCTTTAGAAATTCCAACCCATGACGTTCATGTTTTAATAATTGAACAATTATTTGATTTAAAAGATATTGATACAGCAAATAATGAAAATAATGATAATTCAAGTAATAGTGAAAATGATAATAGTGATAATAATAGTTATTCAGATTCAAATAGTAGTGATGATAATAATGATTATGATATTGAATTATTAACAGAAAAATATTTACTTAATAATGATAGAGAAATATTATAATAATTTTTTTATTTTTTGTAATTTTTTTGAAGACAGATAATTTTTTTTTATAATAATATTAGTAATATAAATATTTTTTTTTCTATAGTATATAAATAATAATAAACAATTATAATGAATTTAAAAATACATTTAATTATTTTTTAATATTTTTTTTTTATTTCATCAATTTCGTCAATTTCGTCAGTTTCGTCAATTTCGGTTTCGGTTTCAGTTTCAGAAAAATTTTGTCATTTTAAAAAAAAAATCGAAATATTTTGGATTTAAAAAATAATTTTGTCTAATATCATTAGCTATAATATGTTCTGAAGGTGAATTAACTAAAAAATTACAAATATTGTCATATATTACTGAAAACATAATGAAATTTTAAAATAGTATTATATATCACGATTTAAAACAAATAAATTACTATATAGCGACAATATTCTAATTTTCGTTATACTGTTCTTTTATATGGCTTATAATTTTCATTTTCTTATGATATTGGAACAGAAGAATATACAACATATCTTAACGCTAAAATTTTTATATTTAAAATAAAGGCATGTATTTACAAGAGCATTGGGATTCATATATATATAGATTTTTTACTTTGCTCGCATTTCGTTGACTAAATATTTTGCTGGCAAATGTTGTAATGCTTTGGTTGGAAATTATTAACTTCTGAGCAAATAAGCAAATATATCAATAAATAATATTCTGCTATGAATTAATTTTGGGGCTTTATGTAAGAAATTATTTTGTTACACAAGCAAAACATGTTTGTCAAACATTCTTATGTATTATGATGTATCACTATTACTATTCTGATTGAAAAATAAAGTTTCTAAATTTATTTTAAGAATAAAATTCGCATACGTACGACATATGACTTTACCTTAAATGATTTAATACAGAATAATACAATTACAAACTTAAAATTTTTTCATGATAAAAAAATTTACTATTCTGATCAAATAGTAAAATTTCTAAATTTATTTTAAGAATAAAATTCGCATATGTATGACATATGATTTTATTTTAAATGATTTAATACAGAATAATATAATTACAACTTAAAATTTTTTCATGATAAAAAAAAATAAGATAATAAAATGTAAGTCTAAATGTTATTCCATAAGTATTAAGTTTTTTTTCTTTTTTTTCCTTATATTTTCATATGCAGTTTATTTTATGTGCAGAATATTTTATTATTATTATTAAATTATTAAAATATTAAAAATGATATCTTTATTAATATCTCGCTAGTTGCAGCAAAAATTTAAAATTGGTGAAATAATATATGATTTTTATTATTCAAACTTTATACTTGACACTTGATTAAAAAATTGAAAGACAATTAAAGAAAGAAATAAAGACAAGAAATTGTTTGCTTCCTTCAAAATTAAGAATAAATAGAATA